GGGGCAGGCCCCCGGAAAAAAGTTTATAATCTAGAATTTTTTTTATTAGAAATTGAAATTAAAATGAATGATATGAAGAAAAATATTAAGCAAGTAATGATTATGGCCCCTGGACAGTTTTCCAGTATTCTTGAGTAGTCCTGTGTATGTTTGGGGGTCAGCAGTCTCCTTTGGTCTCACCCTTGTTTTTCTCAAAACTGTTTTTTGTGTGATGCTGGGGATCAAACCCAGGGCCTTGCTCGAGCTACACCCCCAGCCTTTAGGCCCTCTTAAAGCTTCTCATTTGTTCCTCTTCGGCCTCCCTGCCCTCTCTGGGCTAACCCTTTGCACTTTTCCTGCTCTTCCCCCAGAGGCAGATGTGGCAGATTCCAGCAGTCCACACCCTGAGGATCTCCCTTTTCCAAGCTCTCCCTGGAAGCTGAGGAGTAAGGATGAGAGAGAAGAGAAGGAAAAGGTGTTGCTGTGAGTACAGCTGGGGCGCTTGTCAAAGGGAATAGGAGGGGAAATGGAGAGGTAAGCTGAGGCAGGCAGGGTGCTCGGATGGCTTCTGGAAGTTATCGGGGAGGTGTGGAGGGAGTCTGGAGGCCCAGGATTGTGAGCTGGTCCATGGGACTGGAGTCTAAGTGGGGCAGAGCAGGGCTGAAGGGTGTGGTTGACGCTTGGCTGGCTGGCTGTCCCCGGCTTCTCGGTGCTTCCATTTCTATGTCTGTAAAGTGGGGGCAAATGTGGTAACTGTTAGAGCTGTTGAGTAGATGAAGAACATTAAGTGCCTGATGTCTGCTGGACGCTACTGGACCTTTATCTGGAAAGTGACATTGTAAAATGGGCATTTTCTTCCCTCCTATTTGGGTTTTTTAAATATAAAAATGAAGTCTCAGTTTTTCCCTGGCCCTGACCTTCCTTTGTCTTCCAGTAAAATGGATGCTACTGGGAGGTGCTTCTTCATTTTCTAGTTCCCTCTGGTTTTGGGAGGCCCACAGTCCATGAAAGGATGTACAGGATTGGGTTTCTCTTTAGCCGCCGTCCTGTCCCTTTCTCCTCTCTCCAGGGTTCCGGACATCTCTCCTTTGCCCTCACCTCCAAGAAGCAAAAACAAGAAGCATACCCGGGCACTCCGGAAGTTAAGGTGTCAGGGACTGGGGTACCTCCTGGGTGAGAGCAGCGGTTTGGTGGGTGGCCAGGCCCAGCTGACCAGCATCTCTGCTCCCAGGGAAGTGAACAGACGCCTTCAGGATCTCAGGTCCTGCCTGAGCCCTCAGCGCCCTCAGGGCCCGGACTCCCGGGGCCAAGATGATGAGGTGGTCTTCGTAGAGGGGCCCGTCCTCCCAGAGAACACCCGGCTCTTCCCACTCAAAGTCCGCTGCCGGGCTGATGTGGTCCGATTGCCCATCAGAATGGTAAGTACCTTTTATGTTGAGCTGTAGGGGACTCAGGTTAACAATTTCTGACATTACCAGTCAAGCGGCAGCCCCAATACTATTATGGACTATTGGACTCTTTTAGAATATTTTGCTGAGTTAACACACCTATAATATTCAAATAACAGAACTAAACAAAAAAGGGGATATAGATGAATGTCTATTTTGTATCTGTGTATTCAAAATGGTTAGGATAGATATATAGTTACATTCTCTTAATGAATAGAGGGATTTGTTCTAATAGTGTTTGTAAATAGGATATCATGTCTGCATCTTGTACAGTAAATAACCACTAGGAAGACAGTATGCAGTGTGTGAATTATTGAAACTGTCCTACCAATTTGGTTTGAAACTGTCTCATTGCTATTTGTTTATCAATAAAATTATGAAGAAAAAAAGGATGATAAGTGCTTGATGAGATGTAGGAGGAGGAGCTTGGAGCTGCCTTGGCAGGAGGGCTACATCTTCCTTTTTCGTTCTGCTCTCTCAGGCTGCCCACCACTTCCATCCCTGCATGTCTTATGCTTCTTGTCACCTCCGCCTTTTCCCCTTAATCTCCCTTTTCTGGCAGACTTCCTGCTCATTTTTCAAGGCTCCACTCAAACATGTGCCTTCTAGGAAGCATCTCTTGGGAGAGGCGCCGTAGGGTCAGGGCTTCCTTCTTGGGGTTGGCCTCACCCTGCTGGACACAGTAGATGTCACCCAGTCATCCTGAGTTCCCCTACTTCCTGGCAGATGCTGAGATTATATAGGAATGCTCCCAACTGAACACCAAAGGTGCTAACAGAAATCAGTGCTAACCATGCGTGGGTCAAGCAGCTAAGCTGGGAGCTGTGGCCTGGGCACCCATGGCCTTGTCAGAAGTGGTCTTCTGTGTGCGCTGTGGGTGCGTAGATGGGCTGCAGATGGACACGGCTCAGGCAGGGGGCTTGCCTAGCAGGTGAGAGGCTCTGAGTTCCATCCCAGCACTGCCAAACAAGACAAACTTGACAACCTTTGTAATGGATATTCACAGAGGCTCAAGTTTTTGACTTTCTTAAAAAGGAAAAGATGGGGGCCAGGGAGATGGCTCAGTAGAATAAGCGCTTGCCTGGCAAACATACAGGCCTGAGTTCAATCCCTGGTTCCGCAAAAAAAAAGGAAAAGATGCAGTCAGACTCATCCTGACTGCAGTCATCTACCCCTGTGACACGGGGCAGCTGTAACCTGAAGTGTGTAAGAGCTTTAGGATATCCATATGAGTCATTTGTGGTAATCTCACCATTCCTTTTTTTTTTCCTTTCCATGGCTACCTTTTCTTTTGTGCTATTCACCTGAACTCCTTACTGATGTGACCTTATTCTACACTTGCCAGGTAGATATGGTGACACTCAGCTGAGGAGTTGAGGCCAGATTCTTATATTTGGGGTGGTAGTGTTGAGGGAAGGGTGGGCTGGAGAATTTGCAGGCAGGAACACTACCTTTGCTTCTTATCCCCTTCTCCAGTCAGAGCCACTGCAGAGTGTCGTGGACCACATGGCCTCTCGTCTCGGGGTGGCCCCAAGCAGGATCCTCTTGCTCTTTGGAGAAACAGAGCTGTCCCCGACTGCCACCCCCAGGACCCTGAAGCTTGGCGTAGCTGACATCATTGGTGAGTGGAAGACAAGGTAGCTGGGCCTGGAGCCTTGGCTGTAGGAGGGGAGCTAGGGTGGTCTAGGGGGGCTCTGTTTTCCGCCCCCACTTAGGCCTGGCTTCCTGATCCCTATCTCCTACAGACTGTGTGGTGTTGGCAAACTCCCCAGAGGATGGAGAGGTGTCCCAGCAGCTCCGGCTCCGGGTGCAAGGGAAAGAGAAGCACCAGATGCTGGAGATCTCGTTGTCTCAAGTGAGTGGGAGAAGGAGCTGTGCGTGCGTCCCCGCCTTTCCTCTCTTGTCAGCTTACAGGCGGCTGATTCCTCCTAATCTTGACTCAGTAGAGACACTGCTCTACATGTTCCCTTTTTTTGCATTTTGTTGTTGTCTTTTTAGACTGAGTTTTACTATGCAGTTTAGGCTGGTCTCAAACTCGAGGTGATCCTCCTGCCTCAGCCTCCAGAATGCTGGGCCACCACGCCCGGCTCCACGTTCTTGAATGCCTTGAACGCAGACAGTCGGGGAAGTCCATCATTCAGCGTCCCTTCTCCTCCCGCTGGGACCTCTGCTCTAGTCTGTAACAGTCATGTGTGGGAAAGCTCTGTTGTTATGTTCACGTAAGAAATAAGAAATGGATTCCTGCATGTGGCAGGCTGCAGGAAGAGGATTACAAGTTGGAGGCCAGCCTGGATGATATGATGAGGTTCAAAGCCATCCTGCAGTACATAGCAACACCCTGTGGCAAGGGGAGAGGGAGAAAGAAAACCAAGATCTAGAAAAGTAGAATAATTGGCTATATTCGTTTCTTATGGGGTATAGAAAATACAGCAGGAGAGTCCTTCCTTACTTGAGGTTTGCCTTCAGAGGTTTCAGGTACCCATGGAACAGAAAATATTAAGTGGGCAGTTCCAGAAATAAACAATTCAGAAGTTTTATATATATA